GAAGCATTATAATATATTTTATATATATATATATATAATATGATACGCACGAGAGAGCTGAGAACGTTAAATCGAATACGCGCGATAAAAATGTAATAAATAACAATTCGTGAAATTTATTTTTTGTTTGTTTGTTTGTTTAAAGTCTCGGGCGTGGTTGGTTGGACTATTCATTCTATTTCTATTTCTTCCTTCTTCCTTCCTACCCTTCCTTCCTTCCTTCCTTCCTTTCTTTCTTCTCTGTTAAAATGGTACGCGAGATAAGATTGCCGTCATTCGACAGCCCCGGTGCTTGGAATTTCATCGGAAGGCAAGCCAAGCCTGCAATCTAATTACTTCTAGAATCGATCAAGGACTCGGACTTTGAGCGCCTTGTGAATATCTAACGCCCTCTCCCCTCCATTATTCTCACCCCTCTTACTACGCCCTATGTTCTTTTTATATTTTTCCCCTTATCTTTGAAATTCCTTACGGATCATCCGGATAATCCTTTCTTCCAATCGATATTATTTTTCCTATTTTTTTCTTTTTTTTTTTTTTTAACACCCTCAGATCACGCGCGAAATATATCCGATACCGATTTTCATCCTAATTCGGATTTCTTATATTTTTTTCTTTTTTTAACTGATCATCGTCGCGAATTAAACATCGGGTATATACTTTTCTAGAATTGGATGGTTCTTTTTTTTTTGTTCCACTCGTGATGGATTAAAAAATATAAAACCTCTCGTGTTAAATAAACATTGTTATTCGGTTGATGATTATTATACGCAAAAACCGATTTGCATATTGGTTGCTTGCTGCGCCTCCTCTGTTAAGATAAAATTACATTTCATACCGATAAAAAGTAGTAGTAGTAGTAGCGGTCACTCGTAGATAAAGTTATGGTCTTGAAAAAAAAAAAAAAAAAGAAAAAAAAAATATAAATAATATAACGTCAAACATTAAAGCTCGATGATCGTCGCAGGTTGTAATTTAATAACGAACGTCTATCTTCTAATGCGAATTAATCATTTAAAGTTTTGTTTCTTGTATTTTTTTTCTCCGAAGTAACACAATTTTTAACCAACAATTTCAATGTGTACTTAACGCACGCGATATATTATATATTTTTTTCTTTTTTCGCGTTTAGTAGTAAGTTGTCGATCGTCGGTATTATTCCATAAGCGTGTTAAAGCATTAATCATAAATTCTCGTTCGTGTATTAAAAATTTATTGCGAAAACAATGTGTATATTCGATGTATAAATCTTTCCCCCTTCTCAAAAATGAAATAATGACGTAACATTATCGCCATTCGCAGTCGTCGGTCTCATTCGCGTCAACTTATAATGAGAGAGAGAGAGAGAGAGAGAACTCTTTTGTTTTAAAACGAAGGAAAACGTTGCTGAATCACGATCACCATAGAAACTTGAGCGTCATTATAATATACTACAGCTCGAAGGATGGATGGATGGATGGATGAATTTGATGTGAAACGTGATTTCGTCGAAACCTCGACTACTGTTGTTCTCCCGGTTAGAGATATATTTTTTTTTTTATTTTCTGATTCATCGCTGCCAGGACCTTGAAGTTTGTACGTTTTTGCACGACAACGTGGCTAGAAAAAAAAATTCTTGTCGCGTTGCGGTTCGGCTAATTGCAAGCGAATCGCACGCGTCCTCCTTTTGCAACGAAGAAGAAGAAGAAGAAAAAGAAAAATACTATTGGCTGCTTCTCGCATACACAAACTCGTAGAAGACTTTTGTTCAATTTTCTTTCCCCAAGACTATCGATATTAAGAAAAAGAAAAATATCATTTCAAAGCGAATTAAAATAAAACAAATCATATTCGTGGATTGACGAGCATCGAATGAGAAATGTCGATGGTTTTGGAATAAACGTCAGGATTTTTTCTTAATTTTATTTTCTTTCAATTACGCTAATTAATTTGGTAAAAAAATTCGATTTTGATAAAGACACGATAAAGAAACAATTGACGTTCTTCGATGTTAGTCGTCGTAGTTGTAGTCGTTGGTTGGTTGGTTGGTTGGATCATTCGTTTCGCGTTTCCGTAAAGTGCTATTATACCCGTGTATTTGATAAGCTGCGTGGAAGTAGAGCATTTAAATAATGTCCTGCATGTCGACCGGCGATGGGTCAGAGCGATGGGCGTCGTCGCCATTCGTTCGAAACGTTCGACAAACAATAATAATTTATTCAGATGTTTTCCATGCGCGTTCGCGAACTCGGAACACGTTAATTCGTCGTTTCTCCTACGCGTCGTGTTGTACTACGCTTTGGTCGCGTTGTCATTGACGTTGACAACATTAGAAGAAAAAAAAAAAAAAAAAAAGAAGATATCTAACGCTATATATATACATACAACGAGAACAACTTTTCATAAAAATAAATATCAAAAAAGATTTGTAAAAAAATACATTTTCTCTCGTGAGACCGTGCGATAAATATTTTTCTAATTGAAAATTATATTTTTCCAATTCGTAAAAATATTCATCTTTCATTATTCGTAGTTACAAAATATCATTGATAATTCGTAGTTCGTAGATCATTGAAAACGATCGATCAAAGAGCGCGGTGGTATAATAAATATATTTAAGAAAAGAACCAACGTTCAATGTGACATATACGCACGTGTACACATATTGCTATACAAATAAACTCATCATATACTTTATTCGCGTCTCCTTAAGTTATTCGCCTTTAATTAAAGTTAGACGATTCCTGGTAGGAATAGAGCACGTTTAATAGCCGTGATAAAAATTACGTTTCACGAATGTTTATTACATTTTGAAAAGCAAACGATTTTCGTAAGAAGTACGTACCCGCTTGTAAACTGTTATCGCTCAATTACGATAAACTAAACAGTTGGTGGATGTTAAATTATTATCTTTCGAGCATACTCGTTCAATAGTATTATTCGTAAATACTATTATTTTTACAATATACATAGAGATGCTATTGTTTTTCTTACAAACAAACGTAGAAATACCTAAACACAACATAGTTATATCTTTCAACCTCGAATTTTCATGTCTCGATTATCCAATATTGTTCGTGGATCGTAATGTAAAAACATACAAAAATTGAAAACAACATTTTGTGACTTACGTTTACAACGTTCGAAAAATCGATAGATCGATCGATTTCTCGAAAGAGATAGACAGCTATTTTTTCGCGCGTTTATCTTTTCATCGAGAAGACTCCAAGAGTATTCTACGTTGCATTAAAGAGAGAGAGAGAGAGAGAGAGAAAAAGATAGAGATAGAAAATGAATTAAATAGCGAGATAGAAGATGGTGGAAGAAAAGTGAGAGAGGCAGAGGAAGCAAGCACAGGCTCGTCGTCGTCGTCGTCGTCGAATAGGTCGAGGTCGCATTAAAGCTAGCATGGAATAGAAAGCACGCTCGATTCGCAAGAAATTCACTAATGAAAGGCTCCTTGTTAGTCGTACTTTATTTCATACTTTTTTTTCTTTTTCTTTTTCAACCCCCCCCCCCGCCTATTTTTTTACCCATTCTTATTTTTATTTTTTTTTCTTTCTTCTCGGTGTCATCGACCCCTCTTCTTTTCCACCAATTCATCTTTCCTCTACACCCCCTACACCCCGCACGCCCGCCCGGCTTTTAATTTCATCCTGAATATTTTCGATCGAAAATATATATGTGTTTTGTTCTTCGTCTCATTTCGAGATTTCTTCTTCGTTATAAAAAAAATTCCCACTTCCCTCTTCTACTTTGTTGATTAAAATATTATACGTTTGTTATACTCGCCGTTTAGATATTGTGTATTATTAGATGAGAACACATCGAGTGAGATTTTTTTTCGTAGCCGTAGTATTTACACGCATTTCAGGGGTTTTTAGGATTGGTAATAAAATCGGAGTTTACTACATTTGAAATGACGGAAATGAAGGGGGTTACATACGCCCTTAATGACTGCGAATGTGTTTCGTAGGGAGGGAACGAAAGCGTACGCGCATGAAAAAAAGAGAGAGAGAGAGAGAGAGTGAGAGAAAAAGGGGGCGGGGTGGGAGAAGGACAAAATCAATTTAGCGAGAAATAAAGTTGGCAGCCATGAAAAATCGCTTCGATCTGCACGCGTGCACGCGATGAAATTGTTGTGTGTGTGTATGCGTGCAGGTCCGTGGATATATATATATATGCGTGTGCAACAGCAACAACGGCAGAGTCGTTTCGCGAATGAAACGATGCGCAAGCGCGCGTTTATGTATGCACGCGTCTCTCTCATTCGATGATGCATCCATACGGGATTGATGTGGATTTTTCTGTTTGGTAATATCGGGGAGTCAAGCAAACACCAATGGGAAGAAGAACTAAAACGCTTGCTAGCGTTGGTGCATTTGCGAAGATAACTTCGATGAAAATTTCGATATATATATGAAACGATTGCATATTAGTCACGGAATGACCTATCATTTTTCGTACTATTATTATACAAATGAATAGTCTGAGGGTATTATGCACAAGATGCCGTAGTGCAGGGATAAAGTAGCGACCAAAGGCAAGAGGAAATAACGAATATCGCGTCCTATTAAGGTCTCATAATGACAATTAAATTAACCGTTATCACGGAGGCGAAAGCGCAACGCGGTACAGTTCGACGTTGCATTGCTTTCATTGCTTGCTGTAGCAGCAACAGCAATATGACACGTCACGTCGTCGCGATAACGGCTTGGACTATTCGGCTTTTTGATAAGAAAACTGCGAAAAAAAATCCGCTATCAGCCTCTTGCCTTCTCTTCCTCTCTCTCTCTCTCTCTATCGGCACTTGCGGCAAATCATTTAAAGTAAGACTAACTATCCAAAGTGTACGATTTCCTCTGAGCTCGCGACTATACTCATTGTCAGCGATACTCGGAAATAGTTTTAATGCGAATTCTTGGAAAAAATATCGTTGGGGGACAAGGATCGTTTATAAGCAGGGCTAGAAAATAAGGCGTTGGTCATCATTGTTTGATGTAGTTGCGGTGGTGTCGCAGGTCTGGAACGAGTAGCGGAGGAGTTGATGGGCCGTAGGAGATGGAAGCAATATCAGGACACCCTGTACAGCGGCACGCGCATCAGCGAATCTACGACGACGACGACGACGACGGCGGCAGCGGGCCAGCCCCTCCACCGGCTTTATCCGACGTTGTCATCGTCTTGCAATCCGGTGCTCGGAAATCTGGGCCAGATCGGGGGACCGCCCGGTGGTGGTCACCTGCTTCATCCGGCACCATCGCCGACTATTACGCCAGCAGGAGCTACGACGGTTCTTGCGACGGGTCTAGCGACGGGTCTGGGAACAGGGGTGACGACGGGGGTAGCGACGGGGGTCGCTACGGGGGTGGCAGGAGTGCCTGGGAGCTTGGTTGCTTCCACGGCTACCACGGCCACCGTCGTACCCACGATCGGTCACCTCAAACAAGACGTTTCATCTATTCAGAGGCATCATCCTCAAAATCATCATCATCATCATCATCATCATCATCATCGTCATCCTCCCTCTCATCTCCATACGCCGTCCTTGCTGGCCCAGCAGCAGCAGCAACAGCAGCAGCAGCAGCAACAGGATCAGCTTTATCAGCAAAAACAGCTGCAACAGCAACAACAGCAAGAAGAATCGAGACGTTTGAGACCAGAGGAAATAAAAATCGAAGCGGACGAAGAAGAGTCCGGAGAAGGCAGTGGTGGTGGTGGTGGTGGTGGTATCGTCGTACGAGAGAACGCGAGGACAACGGATTTGGTGGCAACGAGTATTACGACGACGAGTACGACGACGACGACGACGACAAACTCGACGCAAACGACGAATACGGGTACCGCGAGTACGACAACGACGTCGTCATCGACGACGACATCCGCTACGACGACAACCACGACCACGACGACGAATACCTGCTGCGTCGCGAGTACCACGGCATCGGCGAATTTGGTCTCGTCGAGAAGACGACGTCGAGCGAGAAGACAAAACGACGGAGAGGAAGCCGACCCCGAGGAGGAGGAAGACGACGGGGAGGAGGAGGAGGGGGAAGGAAACGAGGTGGAAGACTCGAGGACGCGAGGAGAGGAACCGGAAAAACGGCTGAAACTCGACGAGGACGTAGACAGGTCCGTCAGTAGTCCTCCTCACAGAACGGATATCGAACGAGCGTCCGTCAATCTTTCGGCTACCAACGGCACGAACGACAACAACGCGGCGGAAGGGACCAAGGTAAAATATATCTATCAGATATAATCCTTCCTTATCACTTTTATTTATAATCTAATCAATTGATTTTCACAAATGCAATTTTTTCATTTCAATCCGACAAAGGAACGGGTAGGAGGGGAGCTCGCGTTGGAACGGATACCAGTGACGCAAGCTTTACTCAGAGTTAAAAAAGAAGAGGAGTTACAGGAGGTGCCAGGTGGTGGTGGTGTTGGTGGTGGTGGTGGTGGTGGTTTAGGAATCGAAAGGACGACCCCGGCTTCCGATTCGGAAGGGACCAGAAAAGTTGGTAGTGGCGGCGTTGTTGGCGGTGTTGGTGTCATATCAAACGAGGCTGCTGAAATAACGGCGAAAAGTATTGTTCCGCCTTACGTTATAACGAGTAGACGTACGAGTCCACCGCCCGAAGATTGGAAGCCTTTAGAAAAGTGTTACTTCTGCCTCGATGGGAAGCTGTCCCACGACGATCAAGCGCCGCTCGTAAGTAACCCTTTAATATATATATATATATATATATATCTTACTTTTCTTTGGACACATTCGTACGTCGTAAATCGAAAATCGAAAAGTCCTCCGTATTATTATCATCATCATCATCATGATCATCCTCGGGGAAAAATTAGCACTTTCATATATATTCGCGATACGAAAAAAAAGCGATGGACGTCTTTGCCAATCTTATTTTCTCACCTAGCTGGCTCTCAATAGGCTATCATATCTCGATCTTCTTTCTTGATCCACACGTTACTTTGATCGTTACTTTGATCGTTACTTTGACTTATTATTTATGAATCTCCGGGTTGTATTTTATTATCGAGAAGATTCAGAAGGAAATATATATACGAAGACTACTAACTCGTTTTAAAGAGAAATCCATCGAGAAAAATTCAATAAATATAAAATGATCCGTTCGATGTCCTCAGAGTCCACAGAGCGACAGCAGCAGTAGTTCGCGATCGGTGGAGTCACCGATGTCGGTCCAAGTCGACCCAATGGCGGCGTCCGTCGTCGCGGCCGCTCTCAGCGGTACTTACCCGACTTTATTGCCTCAGTGGTGCTTACCACCAAGAGAGGCACCTCTCGTCGGGGTACAGGCTCATCAGGACAGTGCCACGTCGGTCGATCAACCACTCGATCTCTCGGCGAAACCGAAAAATTCTCAGGTGAGAGCCGTACCCCGCTCGAGTTTTTCTCTTCTTTCATCCTTTTAAATTTCCCTTGTTTTTTTTATTTTTTTTTCTCTCTCTCTCTATCTCTTTTTTCATATTTTATTTATTTATTTTTTTCTTTGTCTATCTTTCTATCTCTCTCTCCCCCCTTACCACCACTCTCTTTATTTCTCTCTCTCTCTCTTTCTTTCTTTCTCTCACACACATGTTCGTCATTAATTAGACGATTAATGTATTATTGTTTCTTTCGTTACAGGATAACAACATATCTCCGCTAGAACAACAAAAAATACCTCTGAGGATGCCCCCGGGTATGGACTCCAAGAGCATCTTCAAGTAAGTCACTTTAAAAGGAAATTCACTCACTCTCGGGCGTGTTCGTTCGCCGATATTATTCGTAGAGATTCTCGTGAAAGAAACAGAGAGAGATAGAAGCGGGTTAGAAGAGGGGTGTGGGGGTGGGATGACGGTAAAAGAATAGTAACACGATGAGAGAGAGAGAGAGAGTGAGAGTGAGAAAAAGAAGGAAAACGACTACGACTCAAAGCCGTACGTTGCCCTCGTGTTTTCGCTCATTTCCCCCGCGTAACATTTTGCGCGTCAAATTTTTATCGTCTTCTATTATTAGTTCAGTCGCAATCTGCACCTCACTCGACACATCGAGAGAAAGTGTAAAGTACTACTACCTCGTTTCTTATGTCGCGTATGATGTTACATAGAAAGAGGGAGAAAGAAAGAAAGAGAGAGGGAGAGAGAGAGAGAGAGAGAGAGAGAGAGAGAGAGAGAGAGAGAGAGAGNAGAGAGAGAGAGAGAGAGAGAGAGAGAGAGAGAGAGAGAGAGAGAGAGAGAGAGAGAGAGTGAGAAACAACAAAGTCGCCTAACGACGCAATTTAATGATAAGATAATCCGCCGACGAAAACTATGACATGTCGAAAATTAGATTTTACCGAGAAACTTAGCTTCGAAAATACAACATTCGTTCAAACGTGTATGACGTTTTCTTGGAATATGTTTTACCGGGGATTCGTTGTACGCTAAGTTAGATTCGCGCAAATTGTCAATTTAACGGATCTTCCTATTCGAGATTTATCATCCAACTATCGAAACCGTTTTAACATCTTCGATATACTTTTTTCCTCCGGTTAATCCATTTTTATTTTTTCGCGTAATAATTGCACGCGAGTAGTGCCATCGAAAAATTTGTATTTTATCCAATTAAATTAATTCTTCGTTACGAACAAATTATTGACGAAGAAAACGCACAAAGCTAACGTTGCTTTTCACGACGGACGAAATGCAATTTTATCTGTTTGCCCCGTTGTACGACAACGACAGCAGTCAGCAGGTCGACGAACTCGGTACTACTGTTAGAGGGGCTTCTTCAATCGTAAACTCTCTCGTCATCGGGTATTATAGTTTATTACTCGCGATTAATTATTTTATCCTCGTTATTTAACAAAAAATTCGATATTACAATGATCGGTTCGGTCCAAAATGAAATCAGCCAAATTGTTGAAAAAAGTAAAATAAAAATTAATCTTAAGGATAAATAAGAATGAATTTTGTTGACGATAAACACGTGTACGGGGAATCAGAGAAACATGTGACAATTGAATACGATCCAGACATTCAAATTTAAAGTTACGAGAGATATGTAAACACGTGAAAGAGAGAGAGAGAGAGAGAGAAAAAGAGAAGAAAAGAAAGGAAATATAGTCTAACAACTAAGTTGATTACGAAATCTAGCCGAACAACGGTTAAGTCTTGGAAGTCTTGGTTCTGTTGCCATAGGCAGATTGTTTGATCCGAATTCCCCTTTTCTCTCTCTCTCTCTCTCTCTCTCTCCCTGTTTAAATCCTAGTTACGTTACGTAATCATCGGAAATGAACACTCGACGAAATAGAATTGACGTTGAAAGGACTTTGGCAACTCGAATATTGAGGCAGGCAGGAGGTGGAGGAGGAGGAGGAGGGGGTGGGGATAGAGATCGATAGGTTGTTTATCCAGGAAAGTTTGGAGAAGGTTTATTAGACTAGGTTTCTATATCCGTTTCAGCTCGTGTTACCGTGCGAAACCGCGTATTGCCGTGCCAGTGACGGCAGCGGCAGCGGCTGTAGCTGCGGCGACAGTGGTGGGTGCAGGGGGTAGCGTCAGCAGGAAGACTTACACCGAGGAAGAACTACAGGCGGCCCTAAGAGATATCCAAAGTGGAAAACTCGGCACGCGAAGGGCAGCCGTGATTTATGGGATACCAAGAAGCACCCTACGCAACAAGGTCTACAAGCTTGCGATGGAGCGCGAAAGGGACGCGTCCCTCTCTAGCACCCATTCACACCCTCACGAGTCCGGCGCCCAAGCCACCACCACCACCACCATCACCACCACCACCACCATCACCACTACAACACCACCAAATACGACCCAAAACGCGACCACTCCGCCCCCGCAAGTGGACGAGGTAGGTTTTGGGGACAGAAATCTAATAAGATTTCACTATTCGAATATGACTGTCCGTATGAGAGAATGATTGATAACATTACACCCAAGCCAATAATTCCAAATAAATTTTGATTAAACCGGTGATCCATTTTGTTTCCTTGTCTACCGATAAAAATTTTTTGCTAACAGAGAAGAAAGCTCGCGAGAATTCATTCGCGAGATTCTAAAAAGTTTCATTAATATATTCTCGAAAAGAACGATTGGATCATTTAATTAGGGATGGGGAGAGGGGGAGAAGGGAGGGATTGGAGAGAATCGTTTCTACGATTCTAGAATTATTCTAGAAATAAAGGACGCTTCGTAGAATGCAAATTGACGTAGGATTCTACGAATATTGTTAGGAAACTAACCGACCGAAAAATACTTCGCTCCGTTCGTAATTTCATTCGTAACACCTTTGATCTCTCGATTACAATTTATTGCAATGGCGATTATTCGTTTATATTTCTATTGTATTTTTTACGAACTATAACATAAGAGAGACAATGTTATTATTTCCAATGTTTGTGCATGGACGGGGATACTTATCTTATCGATGAGAATATTTGTTGTAAGAATATGATTAAAATTCGAGCAAAAGATGAGCACAAATTGCACGACAATGCACCTTAATCAAATATACCTAATATCTTCTTGCATACCTGTCGCGAAAAGAATCTTTTTTTTCGTGATAACTTAACGAGATGGTTGGATAGAAAAGAAAATATAATACGTGAGAGTATGAAAGAATTTTTCGATAGAATTTATCAGTAATCAAATAGTTAGCGTGGTTTTGGTTAGGAAGAACGAACAAGCTTCCCCAAAACATACCTCTTGCACGGCGATCGTAGTATTCGCTCGGTTCTTACGATTCAAGAAAATTTTGTTCGCTAAACGCTTGATCCAAAAAAACGAGTGAACATTTTGTAAAAAAAAGAAAAAAAAAACTCTTTGAAATAAGATCCGTGCGATTGTTCAACGGTCGCCGTGAGGCTCGGTAGTGTCCAATGTTTTATTGCATGGGCTATTTAACTTTGTTTATCTCACTATTTGTAGTTTAACACGCGGCCACTCGGCGTTCGCGAGGTTTCAAGGCACGAGGTAAGTTTTTGGGAAGATCCTTTTTTGAAGTTATTTTAATGTACGAGAAAGAAATCAGCTCCGATAATGAATTCAAACTAACCGCGAAGCTTTCTGCTCTGTGATTATTCTTTTTTCTTTTGTTTTTTTTTTTGTTATTATTTCGCTACTAACAACCAATATATCGGTTGTCCATGCAAAGTTATCATCGACCCGTAGAAGGGTTGTTGTATATCATGCGAATTTATATACCCCTTACACACCAACGACATTCGTACTAAAACATGCTGTAACGAATGGGTTAACATAACAATTTGCATGTACTAAGGTAACCTTCCAGTTTATGATATTTCAGTTCGAATTCTATTATTCTCGATTACGTTTAACTGCATGCGACAAATAATATTGGAAAGGTAAGTCTCGATTTTTTCGGTTCGGACGCAACTAATTATTGCGATATTTTTCTAAATTTCTATCGATCTATGATTGACGTGCAAGAAAAATACAAAATAATCAATCTTTCGTTTAATAGAAAAATAAATATTTTTTGTTGAATGAACTCTTTGTTGCTTCATCGAAACGAACGTTTACTCGTTGACGACAATTTCTGCATGATGCTTGGCTTATTTGCATTTAACGAAACATAAACCTACATAGAGACAATGACAATACTGATACAAAATACAATGAGACACGTTACACGAAACACGTAAGCATACCTCTCGACGAAGTACATTTGAGTTAAAAATAAAAAAAAAATACTTTCACTACGATTTCTAAGATAGAAAGGGAGAAAGTAGTAGGGTTGGGGATAGGGACAGGATAAGAAAGAGAGAATGAGAATGAGAGAGAGAGAGAGAGAAAGAGAGAAAGAGAGAACAAGAATACTACAATACTTTCCTCGAGAGGGGGATTTTACTCCAGGCACAAATTTTTGTTCTCCGTTGAGAAAAAAGATTGACGAAAAATATTAAAAGGGAACGTTTCAACAGGTGGACGAAAAGGAACTATCGGGAGCGGAAGAGGAAAAAGAGGTCGAGAAAGCACTCCTGAAACCTTTGTTGTCGTTGGAAGACCTCGTAAGGTTTTCCGCACTCGAAGGTAGCGGTGGAGATTCCCTGAGGAGTCTGCTTCAGCGAGGACAGGATGTGGGTCAGGAATGGCCGGGTTTGGAACACGCAAACATTGGTCCGTACATTCAAAAAATGTTGGCCGCGGCTGCACCGTTCAAAGGTAAGACAATCGTAGCAGAGTTCAAATTGGAGATTAGGATAATTTAATTGTTAATTGTAATTGTTAGGACTAGAAACGCAAGACTACCGCATTCCGGAGGTGATGAGAAGGTTAATGAGCGAGGATAAGAGGTTGAATAAGAGCGTTAACGGAGATCAAGGACAGGGACCGCATCAGCAACAACAGCAGCAGCTTCAACATCATCAACATCATCACCATCCGGGATCGGGAGTAGGAGGGCATCACCAAAGTGGGCCGCAAACGAGCGGGCAATCGACGACGCAACAACAAGCGCATCAACATCTACGGGCACCGATAACCAACGACGATTTTAATCCGAGCATCGAGGAAGAAGCGAGCGATAGTGCTCAAGGCAGAGCAATATTGAAGATTCCGTCCTACAAGCCAGCGAGTACGCCAGGTTGTTCGAGTAACAAGAACGGCGAACCGACGTCGGCTGCTTTCGCTCAGGGATTTGCGGCAACGGCTTCGAGTCCAAATCTTTTGGAACGCGCTAGCCCCGCGTTTTCGGGAACGAGCAGCCCGACGAACTCTCTGGTCGGCAAGGCGGTGCCCGTTAATTTTCGAGAAGTCATCGCGAAGAGTATAAGCGTCAAGTTCCAAGAAGGTCAACAGGCTGGTGGTGGTGTTACAGCCGGATTGGCGGGTTGTCAAGGGAGTAACGTGGGCCAGTCGCAACAACAAATGATGCCTGAGCCGAGTCCTTTCAAAAGAGGTCGTTATACGCCACCTCAACCATCGCTACCTGTCCAGCAATCACAACAGAATAAACCGCAAAATCAAGACGCCAACAAACCTAAACCCGGCACCGGTGGAAAGGGAACTAGACCGAAACGCGGAAAGTATAGAAATTACGATAGAGATAGCCTTGTGGAAGCTGTGCGCGCGGTCCAACGAGGCGAGATGAGTGTTCATCGAGCTGGTAGCTACTACGGCGTGCCGCATTCCACCCTCGAGTACAAAGTTAAAGAACGCCACCTCATGAGGCCACGCAAGAGGTAATCTTATTGATCAATTAATACACGCTCTTATAAGAGTCTTGCTTGCGTCCCTATAGCCGAAATTCCTCCCTCTCCCTCTGTATCTCTCACTTGTAGGGACCAGAAGCAACCGGACGACAAGACGAAAGACGGCACGAGTACGACTACGGCAGCAGCAGCGGCCGCAGCAGCAGCCGCAGCCGCCGCGGCTGCAGTTATGAGACCTGGTGGTACGACCGACAAAAAGGCCCCGCTTAAGGCTCAAAAACCGTTCGCCCCGGCCAGTGGGATCCCTGGTCCTAACGGGCTGAAGATGCCGTTCATGGAAGGCATGCCGCATTTACCTTTTCCACCTTTTAACTTTTGGAGTCCTGCCCCGTTCTTACCCTCGCCGTTCATGCCGGGTGCCGCTAACGTACCGACCATGATTCCTGAACAATACTTTGCGTCGCAAAGAATGCGTGGTCTGCAAGAACAACAAAGGAGCGCAGCGATAGTTCAGCAACAGCCCCATCAACAACACTCCCAACGAGAAAGAGAGGGTGGTGCGGCCGTCCCAACAACGGAAACACCTGGAACATCGACTGCGAGAAATTCTACGAGCGCTAAGACGCCCAGAGAATTAACGGAAAGCCTTTACGATGGTACCGGGGCGAATGGAAGTTTTTTGGACAATCTGATAAGATCGAGTCTCGAGACCGGTATACCTAGGGACCAGCGAATCTTGACCGAGACCAGGAGTCAACAGCAACAAACGTCGTCTTCGTCGTCTACGTCGTCGTCTTCGTCGCAACAACAGCAACAACAGCAACAACAACCACAACAACAACAACAACAACAGCAGCAGCAGCAACATCCTGAAACGATGAGCGGCAAGGCCTTGATCGATCAACTCTGTAGGAATTCGAGGAGGACACCGTTGTCGCGTATAACGCAAGATAGTAGCGAAGACGAGAGTTACAGGGGACCATCGGGAACCTCCGGCAGACTCGATAGAGTACCAGAGAGACCAGAGAGGGTACCCACCGTTGATCTCAGTCCGTCGCCCTCCGAGAGGGCTCGTACCGACGATGGTAGCGATCGTTTGACCTCACCACCAACGCCTCTTTCCATATCTCGTGCGGGAAGCAGGGACGAGGACAGTACTCGCGAGTCGAGGTTAGATCGTGCCAGTAGAGAACGCGAGATCCATAATGGTGCAGCTCAGGAAGATCGAGGAGGTACTACTCTCGTACAACAACAACAGCAACAGCAACAATTGAATCATTACCCGGACTTACACAATCTTTATGCCGTAACAACTGACAAAAAAAGTGCCTGTGATAGTAAGCTTATAGTAGATCATTCGAGCCAGAAGACTCAACAGCAACAACAACAGCAGCAACAGCAACAACAACAACAGAAGGAATACGCCGCTGTAAGCGGTTTGGTCGTGCAACTGCAAAGGGGTTACAACACCGGCAGCAGCAGGTCCGCCGAACAAACCAACAGCCAACAACCGGCGGAACAACGTGGACCTGTCATCGGTATGGAAGACTCCGTAGAGCAGTAGACGAAAGTCAGTATCAGTTATCAATAAGGTATAGAATTATGGTAACGGTAATCGATTTCGAACATTAATTCCGTAAAACCTTATTCATTCGAATAACTCTATAGTTATATCCCCCATGTCTCTAAATTCCGTTCTTCGTCCTTTATCGCAAATGGTTCCATTCCAATTCGACGATTCGATTAGGATGATCAATGAGGAATATTAGAAGACTATTTGGACGTAATACAAGGATTACCCACCCTATTCCCACCCCCAACACATTCCCCCTATATTCCCGAACTTCGTTCGAAAACTATAGATACTTGAAGAAGCTAGTCTTCTTCTTTTTCGAACCTCCTACGACAGAGATCAGTGAAAAAATCAGTAAAAAAAAATAAACGCTTCGGGTAACATCGATCGAGTAAACTCACTATGAATTTTTTCCAAAAAAACTCGATCGACCGATCCCACCCCTTCCCCGGTGTATGTGGTCCATATATGCTATCGGTGGAAATCCTTCGAGTGTGGCGATTTTTTCATGCGAATGAATTTTCGGAACAGACACCCTTAACTCTAAGGTATTGATTAATGACACGATAAGATTTAATCTACTATACTACTACTACTACTACTACTATTACTACTACTACTACTACTACTACTACTACTACTACTATTTACTTACTCACATTATGCCGAGTATCCTTTCGTACACGTACCATTATACGTCACGCTTACAGAAAGGAATACAAACGTAATCGGTGAATGATACACTGACAAAAAAACACTAATACAGACGAAGAAATACAATTTATAGTAGGGAACACGAAGCAGCGTAGTAGAGGCAACGCGTATACGGGATCCGCATACGCGTTTAACATTTTTAGGATTCCATTTTCGAGTATGTTGCGAATAAAAGCATACCCGTTTGCCGTATACTAATCTATAAGACGATCAATCGTTTAAATTAAGATCGACGAAGCGAAAGGAGAGCTAGCTAAATGCGTTTTAGGTGAAACAAAGATAAAGATAAATGAAGGAGATGATGAAGATGAAGATGATGGAAAGAAACAAAAAAGAAAAAAAGAAATGAAATAAGTAAAAGAAAAGAATAAGACAAACGACAACAGCGTAATTATTTCCTCTATCGATGTAAAACTACCTAATGGAAAACTTATTACCTACTATTAACATTACTTAACTCGTAAGGAGCATAATTATATAAGGAATGATATATTATATATATATACATATATTTTTGGTCATTACGGACGTATGCGAAATGAGAAACGAGCCAAGGCTTTTTTGGCGCACGTAGGTGACATTTTTTCACAAGGCGACAATATTTCTCTAATCTCAGTTCTCTTTAAGGCCGGTGTTCGACGCTAACGCATCATCCCACGTTTTACGAGACACGTTGTTTAGCTTGGAATAAACGCGATAATCGAGAAAAAGATAAGGGGGACACAAATTTAATTTAGTTCAAGGAACTCATGGGGAGACAGATAGAAGGATTTCTCGATAGGATTTCGTCAAATTTTGTTGTACTAATAAAATTGGTCTTGCGCTAAGCTTCTCTATTTACCATTTGTTCTTTTTTTACACTTTATTCGCGATATTTTATTTAAAAGATTCTAATATAATAAAGATTAATAATATAATGTAAAAGGAAAAACGCGTTACTAGAGTGAGAGAAAAAAAAAAAAAAAAGGGGGATGAGATATTGTCCAAAGGAGGATACCCTTTTATAGTCTGTGACATTAATGGTGCTTCCTGAGGACATCCGGAATACGGATATCCTGGAAATATTTAACAAGCTATTAAAATAGAGGGTATTCTCGAGACTATCTCGAGGTATATCTCGTTAAGAGATAAAAAATATAGTGGGTAACACATTTTTAGGAAAAGGAAAAAAAAAAAATATGAATTAACGCGGAGGACAGGGAGAAAGTTTTTTTTTTTTTTTTTTTCAAAAAAAAAAAAAAAAAGAAAAAAAAGAAAAAAAGAAAAACAACAACGTTCTCTTTTTCTTTTAAATTTAATTTTACGAATTCCCCAAAAAGAAATCCTTCTGACGATCCTGCAAGGTTCCTTGAATTTTCGTTAAATAATTAAAAAGAAAATAAAGGTGGTTTGTGGTAGGAAAGGAAAAATTGCAAACGATTAAAGAAAAATTCTAACGAACGGGCAAAGTATTATTGAAGAAAAGAAAAAGTAAAGGAACAAAGAATACGAAAAGAATGCAAAATTAACAAGAAGATATATAAAAATAGAGATAACGGGGGTAAAAATAAAATAAAAAAGGAAATGGAATTATTATAGAGAGGTGACGCGTGCTCTCGACTCGGGGGGGTGTCTTTCTATGTAATACCAAAGTGCAGAAAACCTTTTTCTTAAAGCGCGAATTAACGCCCGATAAACACTTTTTGATACGAATGCAAATTTTCTACTACGTAGAGGAAGAGATACCAACTGCGGCAACAGCAGCAACGTAATCGTCGTTGTTGTTATTGTTGTTGTTGTTGGTAGTGATCTCACTCGAATTAGGGTTTTGTTTTTTCACCGGGTTCCACGAGTAACGATAAATAATGATGATGAAGAATAATAAGAAAATGAAAATAAAGAAAGAGACAGATCGATGATAACGATATCGATGATGATTACGATGATGATGATGATAATAATGATGATGATGATGATGATGATGATGAATTATGATTGTCGAATGCGAGGCATAGGAGCGAATCTACGTTTCATATAAAATTTGCATTAGATTTTTTTTTCTTTTTAGGATGGGGTGAGGATGGGGAGGGATAAAGGGAAACAAACAAACAAATCAACAAAACAATTCTATATTTTTTGATCAGGAGATTCTCCTAAAAGGAACGATGTCTTTTTTAAAAAAAAAAAAAAAAAAAAAAAAACAAAAAAACAAAAAAAAACAATACAAAAAATAAGATATCGTTCGTCAATAATTATTTCGCGTAATTAGTTATCGCAGTTATGAAATTCGGATATATTTGGATAGAAATAAAATATTATAAAGGCATTCCTGTCGGGGTTTTCTCGTTATTTTTTTTTTCGTACGATATACGATGATCGGTTGGACCAATGGGGTGATAATATTAATTAGTGACGGGTTTTTAAATCAAAGTTTGAAAAATGAAAGAAAAGAAATCAAAGTTTCGGGCGGGCTTATAATAAAGAAACTTTTTTAAAAAATATACGAGGAGTGCAATGAAAAAAATAGTAATGACATTAGGGGACGTAGATATCGCGAATCCGCTTTTCCTCGCTTAACGATTTAAATGACGACAAATAGAAGGAGGAATATCGGATATAGAGAAATATAAGGAGGTAGAAGGAAAGAAAAATATGATTTAAAAAAGGTAACACGGAGGAAAACGAATAAGAACGTGAGAAACGGTGGTTAAAGATTTGAAGAAAGAAGAAAAGGGACAAGGGAAAAAGGAAGAACGATCCATGCACTCATCTCATGACACTATTTTAAGAAAGAATTTAAAAGGAAAAAAAGAAAAGAAACACAAAAAGGGGGATAAAAAATAAACCACAAAAGATAACAAAGAAATAAACGAAAGAAGAAGAAGAAGAAGAAGGAGAAGGGGAAGAAAGAAAAGAAAAAAGAAAAGTAAGAAAAAATAAAAGCAAGCGTAACGACTGAAAGACTTTAGGCTGTATATAAAGTATAAGGCATGTATGTTTGGTGTTTTAAAAAAATGCAAAAATTCCTTATTAAACGAAAAAAAAAGTTATTACCCTTTATGCGAAAAAAAGTAAACAATGTAAACAAGACTACTCTCTCGGTGTTTTTTGGAACTAAACTTAAATAAAATAAAAAAATTTGTCCTATTTAAAGGGAAAATTAAACCAAGTATAAAATGAATAAGGCGTGAGAATAAATGATGTAATTTCTCCGATGGAAAAAAAGTTAAAAGTAAAAAATAAAAGTAAAAGTAAAATAAATACGCGAAAAAAAAACGTCAAGTTATTGAGTGTAAACGTTAAGGTCTTCTTTAGGGTTAAAAAAAAAAGCGATAACACAAAATGGTAAAATGAAAAAAAATGGCGAAGTAAGTCACAAGCACTAGTCACGATCGTGTGTAAAATTTTTGGGGGGGGAAAAAAAAAAAATATATATATATACCTTCCTTCGCGCTATCACTGTATCCACAAAAAAAAAAAACAATCCCGACGCGATGCACGTCCTGTTTTTCTTTCTTTTTGCAAAGTTGACGTTCCTTATTCGTCACCCCTCCTTCCCCTTTTGCTCCATCTCCCGGAACTTAACTTAATTTGGTCCTATAGAAAAAAAAAAGAAAAAGAAAAAAAGAAAAAATGAGGAAATTTGTTAAAATTCCAAGCATCATTGTGTTACATCACGAAAAGTTTCGTTAACGTTAGCAAGGAAGCCCTCGTTGCTAGCTAGCCCGTTCCCGTCATCTTTCAAGGCATTCATCGTCATCCATTTTCCCCTCATCATCATCCCTGATCACCCCTTGATCACCCCTCGTCCCCAGCACCCTCCTCGTTCCCCTCGTCCAAGCTGCCTCCCGGCATCGCCGCGAGTACATTGCTACCATCACCGTCATCAATCACCACCGTCTCGCTATCGTGCCCAGAAGGAAAAAAAAGCAAAACTACAGACCCTTTATAATAATAATAAAAAAAGAAAAAAAAAAAAAAGAAGCAGATTTATCGTTAGATGTGAAAGAAAGAAAGAAAGAGAGAGAGAGAGAGAGAGAGAGAGAAAGGAGGTGGTTGAATGAAAGAAGAAAAACAAAAAAAAGGAAAAACAAGAAAAAACCATTTCAAACGCCGCAAAAAACTAATTATTTATCGTGAGGATGATTGTAAACGTGCGTGTACCGCTAATGATTGTCGTTAAAATTCACAATTACGGTTTACGAAAAAAAAAAAAAATAAATAAATAAATAATAATAATAATAATAATAATAGTCGCGACGTGTCGTTCGGTGCAATCTATATCGACAGTTGGATCCCGTGATCCTCGTCCCGCGATACTAAACAAAAATTATGCTCCTAATACCTGTGTTATTTTACTTATTTCTTCTTTTAAATTCCTATTACTTCTTTTAATTCGTGCAACTAGCTGATAGAATTTTTATTCCTTTTTTTTCCTTCATCCTTCGAACGTTCTTTTCTTTATTTTTTTTTTACGCAAATTAAAGACAATTTGAAGAATATGAAAGTAAGAAAGCGTCTAATCGAAATTATTCCCGAATAATTCATTCCTTTTCTTTTCTATTTTTTTTTAATTTGTATCTTTTAATAATTCGTTGTATTGCACGATCGTCGATTAATATATTTTTCGGAGGAGATGGCCGAAAGAGTAGGATTCAAAATACTAATTCGAATAAATCATTCGTTAACACGTGTAAATCCACCGGTAAGAGATCTGCTGTTTAATTGAAAAAACTAGAATGGCGATATATACATATATATATATATACATATATATGTATATGCGGTAAAGAATAGAAAAAAATTGTCTGAAAGTGAAATTTTGTCAAACTTCCGGTCGTCTCTTCCACCATCGCGGGCGATGCGGTATTACGATGATATCCGACGAGAGACGGATTGGTCGAAAACGGGGAGGAGAAAAGAAAGAAATCTTTAAGAATTAAAAAGAGGATATATTATATTAAAATATCTGTGATGTAAAAAGTAACAAAATTTTGATGTATATTTTTCACAAATTATTGTAACCAGCTAGTGTATATGTGTAAGGATATAAACAAGAAAAAAAAATAATACTATTATATAATTACGGTGTGCGGGAAAAAGAAAATGATAATGCGAGGGATTAAAAGAAAAGAAAGAAAAGAAAGAAATAAAGTAAGGGTGAGAAAGAGAGAGAGAGAGAGAGAGAGAGAGAGAGTATGAACGAGAGAGAGAGAGATAGAGAGAGAGAGAGAAAAAGAGAGATTGTGCGAAAGAGAGAGAGAGAGAGAGAACGAAAAGATAGATAGATAGAATGATAAAAAGAGAAGGGAAGTTTAAGGGTTGGAAGCCGCGATATAACGCGAAAATTACGTTGGTCCACACCGGTGGTCAGACGGGACCAAGATGGCGGGCACTGCTCGGAAAACAGTCGGACTCAAAGATTCCAGTTATCTTTTTGCCCACCCACCCCCTTTTCTATTTTCCTTTTCTTTTTCGTTCGATCGTTCCGCGCGTTCAAAAGAGAAAGGTAAAACGAAAGAAGAATGAAAAAAAAAGAAAAAAAAAAAAAAAAACAAAACCAAAACCCGAAAAGAAAATTATGTACGGCGGGCTCTTCGTTCTTTTCCTTCGATCGTGTCGACTCGATTAATTTGTCAAAAACCAAAATCTTTTTCATTATTATTATTCTTATTCTTATTATTCAGGGAAATACAAATATATATATATATATAAATAAATAAATAAATAATGTAATATTTGGAGGTGTGTCGTTTTCGAATCGTAAGATCGACGAAGGAAAAGACACGGATTTTTTCATTTAATAAATAAACCGGAAGATTTGGTCCGATTGGCCCTGTAACGACTCGATGTTAGCTACCTCACAGTATCGTCGTACGTTTGGTACATGGTTCGAAAGAAAAGATTTATGTATGTGTGTCTCTTCGTGCATAAAGAGATTAAGAATGATCCTTGAATAATCTATGAATAATTCTCGTATTTCCAAAGTAGAATCGTATAATTAGTATTCGAATCGAATTGGTAATTAGAAGTCTAGATCTAATCTTTTTCCCGAAAGAACAGAAAAAAAAGAAAAAAGAAAAGAAAAAAGAAAAAAAGGAAAAAAAAAAAAAAGAATCTCTTTGAATAAGAAGGTAAAAAATCTCTCGAAGAAAAATCCTTCCTACTATTTTTTAATAATAACAACCCGGTAAATA